AGCAGGCAGTGGCTGCCTGTAAATGTTTGATGCTTGAATAGACTTTTGTTATAGCCTTTCTATGCTAAAAATGAGTATATAATATCTAAAATACTGTTTAAAGTCAGATGCAGTTTGGTGGGTTTCCTTTTTCATCCTTTGGAGTGTATATAACTACCAAGGAAGTGCCCTGTATTATGTTTTTATGACACTAGGGTACTTATGTACTGGAAATCTCTTCAGATCTCTTTTAGGTATCATTTTAATTGGGTCATAGCTATATGAAGAGGTATCTATCTTTTGAATTTGCAGCCCTGGCCTTTTCCAGTTTTCAGAATAAGTGGAGATTTTTAAAATGGCATTTAAGCTACAGCAAAAACTAAGGAAAGCAAGGAACTAAATCTACACACTTGGACATAAAACTTTCAACCTGATTCAGCACTGGTATTTGAAGGATATAGGGTAATTAAAAATCCATTATAGTATATCCCAAGGAGAGTGGAAAACCATTCCTGCTTACTAAGTGTTGGGATAACAGTCATCTATCACCTTTGCTTTTTCAGCTTGGAGCTTTCTCTGAAGTGGGGCAAGTGCAAATGCAAGTTGTGACAAGATTTCTGTACTGCTGTACTTCCTTAAAGAGACAGTAAAAGCTCTTTGTTGTTTCTTAAGGAAACAGTGTAATTCTCATAGAAATCTCATTGGGTTTTTTTTTTTTATTTTTATTAGGATTTGTCTTTGGTTAGGCAACACTGAAATAAAAATACAGGAGCAGGAAATCAAAATATTTCTAAGTGAAACTGAAAGTAGAATGTTGCACACCCTATATTTATTAACTAAGAATAAATTTAATAATAATGACTATGTAATCCCCCCTCCAAACAGGATTAGAAAATTTCTACATACGAAATTTGAATGTCATTGTAGCCTGTTAGAATTCTACTAATTTATTTCTTGACTCTACTTTTATTTTATTCTTAATTTTAATTATTGCCATGATGTTTATGCCTTCAGTTATCCTAGCTTTTTAAAGAGAATTAAAAACATAACAGCAGAAAATGCATTATGCATGCAAGTGGTTGAGACAAAGCTGCTTGCTAGAAGCACAGACAGTGAGTTAAAATGCATTGAAGTGTCTGACTAAACTGTGGAGAAAAGATTGATGTAAATCTCTGTCATGAGTAGAGTACAATTCATTTTACCAGCAGAGGCCTGTTTGCCCTTTGAACCATCACTCTCTTTAGTTGCCTGCAAGCCTGGGGTGGTCCCTGACAACACAAGAGGTCTATTCAGCAGCTGCAGTGATGGTAGTATTGGCCACTGCCTGGCCAGAAATATCTGCAGTATTCAGATGTCCCCAGTGCATGTATCTCCTGTAGCCCTGTGGCATCACAGCGGGGGAATGGGAACTCGGGAAGCAAGTTACAGCTTTCACTTGCAGTGCAGTTGTACAATTTTCCTTACTATTTTAAGACATCCAAATTTCTGATGCTTTTCCATTATAGCACCCCTGTGAGATAGGGGATACTATTATTTTCACACTGCTGGTGGGAAAGAAAGCAGGGAATGCTAAAATAATATCGCTGAGTTTACTTAGGCAAAGTAAGGTATCAAATCCACATTTATGAAATCTAGGTTTAGTGACTATTGGACATTATTGCTCCAAAATACTGTGCCTTACGAAAACTCCCCTACCCAGCTACAAAGGTGTTCAGAGGAGATCCAGGCCTTTGCATGTGTGAAGAACTTGTCCATGGATTTAAATTCTGATAGCCGTGAAAAAGCTAAAAATTAATTTTCCACATTAGGTTGTTTGAGAATTTATTCAACTGTCTCAGGAAAAGACATATCCTTTGCTTGGAAGGCAAGGATGATAAATTTCCGTTGAGAGTTATTAAAAATTGTGAACAAATAAAAAAAAAAAGATGTTAGAAACTAATGTAGAAATAAATCTTAATTCTAACACTTGATTTATAAATAGTAAACTTTTCTACATATACTATAAAATCCTGGTAAAATAAACTAGTAACATTTTTCACAGCAGTGAAAATTGGTAGATGTTTATTTCAAGAAAAGGAGGTCAAATGCTGCCCACACCATCATTAAGCAAAGTTTATAATTATGGGTTCCTTATCATAGCTCACTTATTATCCGTGATCTTCCATAACTGCATGTTGTTATACACAAATGGTAAACTCAAGGCTTAACATCTCATGCCTGATTTGCAGGTGAAGATTTCTCATTTACTTTGCAATCCAACACATCCAGAACAGACTTCTGAATTTGCATGTGACAAACAGCACTGATTTTGATGAAAGATTTCAGTCCTGGTTTTGCAAAACAGTCCCTAGAGCTCATGAGCTGAGAACAGAATTTATTCTGAGTTTGATTTTGGAGTGAATTTCTAATCAGATTAGCTATAAAGAAGGCCTTTTAATTTCACAGTCCCTGGGAAAGTGAAACTTGAGTAAGCCGAAAGCATTGTGAAACAACTTCTGGTAAACATCTGGTGTAGATAGTCTTGGGACTATCTACACTGAGGTGGCTGAGCTGTAGTTATATCTCTTTCTTAAGATGTGCTTCCAAAGATGGCTGCTCATAATTGAGATATAGTTTATATGCCAGTTTTGCTGAATACAGATATGACTACCAATCTTATTTGCACTGCTTCTTAAAATGTTAAGTAGAGATAGCAAGACAGGCTGTTTGGAAAGCACTTAAGTTCCAGTATTATGAAATATCTGTGGTATGAGGTTGATTCTGCTATCTGTGCTCTCTTAAAGAGTGCTACTCAATGTAGCGTCGTGTTCTACATAGTGCTCTTCCTGGTATGTATTTTAACACTGAGTAAGTGAGTCCATGGCTGTAGTCTGTGATATGTTTGAGACTTCTCCAATGGGAAGTATCCAGAAAGTGCTGTTGTACAGCCATTCTTGACAGTAAACTGGTTCAGTGTTTTGGTTGAGCCTAGGCTGTCAGGATGAGAGTGTATCAACTGAGTCGGCAGTGTGGAGTGAAAAATACAAGTGGTGTTTCTGCAGGAGGAAGGGCTTTAATCAAAGCTCAAGATTTCAACATGATGTCAGGACTGTTGAAAACTTACAAACCTGTGAGAGCAGTTTGTTGCACAACCCTGGCAGCCAGATTCAGAGAGGGTTTGGACTAGCTGTCCCTTGTTTGAAATCAGCACCTCTCTTATGTTACTGTTTTTGGAAGTGGGGAAGGACATTTTTCATTACTGCATTTCAAGGATAAGATAGGACACTAGCAGACATTGCACCTCGATAGTTTCACTACAGCTTCTTCAAAGCAATCTGGGTAGACCTGTGGCTTTATGTGTTGATGGGAAGTAGTTTACATCAGGTTGTCATTAGGCTGCCGAAGTCAATATTAACATTGAAATAACAGAACTAAAACAAAAGTAGTTAAAAAAGAGTTTATTTCAGAGTACCGAAACAGATTTGCTACAATAAACTCTTTCCAGAGAAAACATTTTGTCTTTTTTTTCCCCTGTAATCTTTTTTCCCTTAAAGACCAGGTATAGTATTGACTAGAGGGAAAAGAACCTTCCATTGAGTTAGCAGAGGTATTTGGTGCAGAAGTCAGGAAAGCATATCCATGCATGGCTGCACCTGCAACTTTCACAACAGGCAGAGACCTGTAGCACTGGCCACTGCCAGGAGAAACACAGGATTTTGGTCTCACCTTGTAATTACTACATTTTTTTATTTATCTATAGTGTTTTGGTCCATTGGGGATTATCTGCTGTGTTAACACCTTGAAGAGGCCTGTTCATCTGATTTAGGTGGATCAGTGTAGACTTTTTCCAGTTAAAACATGCAAACTGAGGGCTACAAACTCAGGCAATTTTTGCAATAACACGTAGTAAGATGTGAGAGCAACAGATTTTAGACTGAAAGTTGATGCTAGGCATATGACATTTATGCTGTGCATTTAAGGAGTTTTATTCTATTCATGTGTATTATAGAAACAGAGGTCACACCTTTGGTTAACTTCATACTCCTACTCTCTACCTTTTCTCCCAAAATGTCCCATTGGGCTTAATTGCTTTACAAGAACAGCCTTTGATGTTTTCCTTACTTATCTATTAAAACAACCCCAAACCAGTTTTTTGAATCCCACTCTATTGGTAAGAAACTGAAGGAACTTGGAAGCATTTTTATCCATTAAAATCCTATTCTTATATCTATATAAATACATATCAAATTTTCCCAGCTAGAAGCCACTCCCTCCTCCCCCCCCCCCCCAAAACAACAAACAAACCCCCAACAAAACACTACCAGCAACTACATGGAAATAATAACAACTATTATGCGAAACAGGGCAATTCACTCCATATTGAACCGAACTCTTGGTGGTTTCATTGCTGATAGGTAAAACTCCCAAACATTATTTTTGTGAAGTAACACAGGATAAATAATATACCTGAACATTAAGAATACCCTTCTAAATTAACTTGATTTGTTACCAACTACATGAAGGAGTTTTGTAACTGTTATACCTGTATTTGCTTATTCAGTATTCTATTTAAATTGTATTTAAACTGCTTTCAATATAGCACTTTGTTCATTTGATCAGTTAAATTGATCCCTAAGCAGTAGATGATCTTCTGAAAATTTGGCCTTATACAGTATACAAGCAAAGAGCTTTGTATTCTGTAAGAAGTTTCCCTACTATAAAAGTTGTCCCTGTCTGTTTTGAGGAAAAATATTACACAGCAACTGATGCAGAAGAGACTTTCATGTCAGCTGATCTGAACCAGAGTTATTGTGCACCTTCTATGATCCTAAACCTGAGGAAGTTCTACCCACATCAATTAATGCCCTTTACATGAGCAGGTTTCAATTCTCATTTTCCTTATTTATTAACAGAGAAACTGTCAGAGTACAACAGAGTATCAGTCATTTAATGGGGAACCAGAAAATAATGAGAAACTTACGGCTGGTGCATTATTTTGAACCGGCTCAGCTCATAATCTGACATATTCTGAAAAGAGAGAAAATAGGTTTTGTATTTTAAATTGATATAATCAAGACAAGTTAAGTGAATTTCATGACATTTTTAATAGGGAACTAAGCAAAGACCTAAAAAATAGTTTTTAGTTTGAAGCTATATGGTTGTCTCATCTTGGTTAATGCTTAACTTTTTATTACTGGCCTGTTGTAACATTTCTGGAAAGCTGGTAGCACACACTACATTGTTAAACTGGAATGCAACTGGGCATGAGGCCGATTAAATTACACTGGTTAATGAATCATTCAAAAAAGTGATAAGCAAGCCATTTTACATGGTCTCTTTCCAGCTCCACCACAGAATTTCTTTGGGGTTTTTTACTGAAGTCAGCAGACCAGTATAACAATGGGTGAGTGGAAGATTACTTTCACAATGGTTTGGAGACTATTAACTCCCAGTTAGGTCTGTGTAGCTCCATATACCTTTCACTCAACGTGCCAAAGTCCACACATCACACTAAAGCAGTAGAAGTACTTCAAATGTCCAAGCTAGTGCGCTGCTTGCAGCTGAACTTCTTAAATCACAGTCACAGCTAGTCTAAATGAAACCTTTTTTATATCTATGTATTTTCCTTTAGTGCAAAATCTCCAGCAAAATCTCTGGATTGTACTCAGAACAAGTGTGTGATTGCATGGTTTCATTCCAGAAACCTGCTAATACTACTGATGCGCGGATTGACTCCACAACTCGTTAAAGTTGTAAAGTAGGTATGCTTTTTATTCAGCGCTGAGATGCACGGGGATAATTCCTCAAAGTCATGCGTGCCCCAGTGTTGTTTCCCTCTACATTTATAAGGTTACACCATACGCCTATACATATTCATGTCCTATCCCGGCTTCCTATTACAATGAGCTAGCAGGTCCTTTGCGCCTGCGCAGTGCCCCCTCTGGTCATGGGCAGGGGTCTCAAGATGAAGTAAATGAGTCTTCCTCTTGTGGGTAGGGGTCTTCAAGATGAAGTAAATGAGTCTTCCTCTTCTTGAACTTTTCACCTTTTAGTCTTCACGTATGGCCTTTGGGTTTGGTCCCAGCCATCAACCACCTGCTTCTCCCTCTTAACAGTAGATTCAGGGGTCTGCTTTTCCCTATCAATAGGTGCTTATCGGTAGAATCAGGTGTCTGCTTTTCCTTGTCAATAGAACCAAGTGTCTGCTTTTCCTTGTCAGTAGTTAGTGCCTTTGTTCTGCTTAGTAGGCATGATAGGTACAGACAATACCTTTTCTTACACAATCGAATTCCTCTAACACCCCCTTTACACCCCCCCCCCCCCCCCCCCCCCGTACATTGGTCAACCCTCTGCATCACTACAATGCCCTCTTTCTCAGCGTAGTTTTCAACAGGAGATAGGGCAGGCTGAAAACACATCCATTTAATCGATGCAATTCTAACCCTCCTTCTGGTTTTGACAGGAGGAGGAAATTAATTTGCTTTTTTTCCCCAAAAAAACTTCCTAAGCACACCTATAATAGATGTGAAACCTCTGAAACAAATACTTTCCAGTGACTTCAGTGCTACTGAGTTCATCGTAATACGACTGATGTTTGGCCAACCCTAGCTGTTTTTCTGAATAATCCCCCAGCTATCAGACCTATTCCAAACTGTTTTGCCTTTTCTCTCATCACCTCATCAGCATGATAGATGAATTTTTTATCAGGTATAAAAAAGGAGACACTAATAACAAGCCAGTGAGACTAGGAGATCAAGTGGAGTACATGCAAGATGTCAGAGAAAGCAGATTTCCTCGGTCTGTATTTAAATTCAAATAAATCTCCGCATACTTTGTTACATTTGTTGGGAAAATATGCCATTTCAGACAGTAGAGAACCCCCTATATTTAATACTTAGCCTGTAATTATACTGTAACAAAAAGCAGCTGCATATCTTCATCCAGTGGGTATGGTAATTCGCAGGTGATTGAGCAGATCTAGAAATCACCAAATTCCTGAGGAAATGTAAAAGTATACTGAGCTGTCTGATTGACATAGGCCATCTGGGCTGTTCAGACTATGTCAACTGTAATGATGACTCACCAAAAATGGCTCTGCAGATCAATGACCAGAAATGTTAGGGCCATTTCCTCCCCTGTTTCTGCACCTTTTAAGTAAGAAGAGGAGGCACTTAAGCTCTTTGTTGTAAGGATTAGACTCTTATTTGTTCCTTTTTCTTTGTAAAATAGAGTATTGAAACCTTAACTAGCCTGTGTTAAGGTTGCTGAGGTATAATTGCTTGGTGATTGCAGCCAAGTAGCTTGTGTAATTCTCTCTGCCCTTCAAGCTGATGTTTGCCGCAATGTTCTGCTTAAGCAGCACTCTGCCGCAAGCAGCTATTTCCACACAGGCAAGTGCTGTGTTGTATGGTCAGATCAAGCACTTTTTAAAATAGCAATTGCGCTTGGTAGAGGAGGAAGCTAAGGATCTAAACACTTCCTGTACTTGTGAATGTTTTACAGAGAGAGTTTTAATTTGAGTTGTTTTTTTTTTAAAATCTCTAAAACTGCCTTCCGTAAAGGGATTAAGCTACGAGCTTCCCTGAGGTTCGAGGAGATTGCCATCTATGGGTCCAGCTGAAAGCCGTCTTTCCTTATTTTTATGTTTTTTTTTTTGTTTTCCTTTTATTTTTATTTTTTCTTTCCAGTAAATTGAACCATTGATTGCAACTAAGAGTTGCTGTTGCATTTTAGCAACAAAGTTCTGGCCTGAGGAACGAATACAGAAGTATCCTTCAAACTCAACACTTCTAAAATGACATGGCAGCTTCTGTAACATGACTAATTTTTCCAGGTTTTAATTATCCATTGCTCCTGTTGTTGCTTTTGATGTATGTTGTGATTCATATTGGTGTGATTGGAATATATTGCAAATTAATATGCGTGATAACTAAGAAGTTACAGTATTTTTTTTTCTGAAGGGATTTGAGCTGCCGAATACGCAATGGGGAGCTAAGGGGACATACTGGGTTTCTTGTTTTTTTGTTTTTCTTTATATTTACAGTTTCAGGTTAGAGTGTGATTTAGAAAGCATATAAAAATTATGTTCTATTCAAACCTGCTACTGAGTTTTTTCTTTTCTACTGGCTGCTTCATTCACCTGACATCAGTGTTTTCAGTAACTCACTTAGCTCAGTAGCTAAGAGTAATCAAAACTCCTAGCTTGCAGATCAAGCCAGCCACCTTTGTTCTGCAGATAGCATCATGGAAGGGAAGAAACACTGCAGTAGTGCAAATTTTTGAGGTGTGTCTCTTGCTCCTTTACTCACAGAAGCATGTCTTGGATCTGAGCCTATCCTGCTGTAGCTGTTTGCCAACATTGATGCTGACAAAGGGGAAGCCTTACATCAAAAGCAATGAGAAGCCAAATTTCTGTACGAGCTGGAGCTGCAGACCTGTAAGTAGGTCTTATGCACTTTTGTCTGGAAGAGTGTAGACTGACTCATGCATGTGGACTGTGAAGTAGACACACAGTGAACTGGTATGTCTGAGGTGCTCTAGTTCTGTGTATGTGCTTCACAAGTGGTCAGCACATGTGCAAGTGGCTTACATGCCTTAGCTGGGTGGGATTTATGGCATCTTGCAGACTTGGGGACATATAGAGGATGAGTGGTAGGTTGATAAGGGATAGTTAGCATGCAAGTGACTCCTGGTTTGTGAAAACAGCAAATATGGTAGGAAGGTAAAGAGAAGTTGGCTCTGATATGGGATAAAATGTTATATTGTGAAGCATATATGGCATGTTCACCTGCCCTAGTCTTAGCAATTCTCTAAGGAAGGTTTCTATATCATAAACATGGCTGTCAGAAGGCATGGGATTTGGCCATACAGATTTACTTTAGAGATTTTTTTTGCCATGTTTTCACAGTTCCTAGCTGAGGTTGTGCTAAGGCGTATTTTTAACAGTTATTGCCTCAAAAAAGATTTCATATATCGTTGAAGAAGGTTGTTGGTATAGTTGATCATACAATACAGTCTTTTCAACCATATTTTGTAGTTCACAGAAGCACATCTGTTTCCTCTTCCTTACTTTTCAGCCCCTTCTTGGTAGGTGTAGAAGATGGTTATGGCTGCCAGGTGCAAATAATGCCCTAAACAATCCAGGAATGCTGGGAAGGATCAGTAGGAGCTTGAAGAGGTCAAATTTTGGTGTGAAAGAGGATGAGAGGATTCATTTGAATTTATGACAAATATACGGTGTTGCTAGGTAAGCTGTCAATGTCTGGGCACTAAAGCTGCATGTAAGATGACAGTATTGTTATTACTTTACAATAATGGTGAGTTATATTCTGTAGCATAGCCAGTTTTGAGAATTGACCAGTTTGGAGATGTTTGGGGAGGGGAGCAGAATAAAGACCCAATCTTACTTGATATAAAACAATTTAAAAGTTGTTATGTCAAAATAAATGCATAATAGAAAAGCTCTGTATTCAGTATGACCAAGTTTGTGAAGACCTGTTATGTTTATGGAACTTGTTTGGTATTGACAAAGAGCTGCAAGAAGCAGAATCAGGAGGAATCTACAGCTATATTTTTTGCTTCCAAAAGACAGACATTTGGACTGTAAATAAGAATGGCCTACATTTAGGCAGTTGATAGGAATAACAACCTGGAAAATCATAGAACTGTAATAAGCTGTGTTAATGATATCTCTTATTAACTGGCATAGTAAACTGTCTGTATTTAGGAGAAGATACAGCATTTCTTAGTAAAAATGTCCTTACGGAATATAAAAATATCTGTGTGGAATAAGAATCTCAGTGCTGGCCTCTAGAAATACAACACAAGCTATAGACTTGTGATATCTGGCAGATACTATTAGAGCGTCCCAGACTGAGTAAATAATGGAATTAATGCATAGAGGAAAATTGTATGTTTTTTTGTTTTTGTTTTTGTTTTTTTTGTGTTTGTATAAAGGAGAGCTCTGCCCCATAGGGGTTGGAAAAAAAAGCAGTTGACAAGAAGGTAAATAATGGAATCCTTAAAATTAAAAGTTGGAGCAGAAAGAATGGAATAAAAAAAAATTCATGTTTCTATTGTGAGCAGAGAGTACTATTTTTAGGATATTTATCCATTTCGAAGTGTGTCAAACTGACATCTAGTGGTAGCAAGAGCACTTTTTGTGCAAAATGGTTTTATAGTGAGACCAGTTTGCATAGCAGATTAACAGGTTATAACTGCATTATATATTAGATTTTTGATTCTCTGTACTTTACCCTAACTCAAATTCAATTTCTTTGTTTTACAGAGCCTTTCAATTACATCTTTCTCCTTTTACTAATATCTGATTGATATAATTCAAGGTGGTGGTGTCTGTTCATCTTTACAAATTCATGGACTCCTGCTAAAGAAGTGTCATTCTGATGAATAGTTCCATTAGAGAGGAAAAGGTTGGAAGGAGCATTAGGAATAAAATATTCCCATCCAGAAAGCTGAGGATAAGGGTTAAAGAATCTCTGCAGGGTCACCAATGAAATTGTGCAGCAGTGAATTTTAGACCTGTTATGAATAAACAGGAGAAGTCAGGCTTCAGAGCTGTGATGCGTGTCTCAGGTGTGGCATTACTCACAAGTGTAAGCTTCTCCGGGAGAGGAAGCAGGACTTTATGACCAAAACTGAAATCTCATGTGACCTGAGGCGAGATGTGTGGGATCTGAATCAACAGAGCATATAGGCATGTACTTCAGTCATTCCTAGTGAAAGCAAGAAGGGTTCATTTGCTGGCGTCTGTGCTTAATGGGTTTTCTGAGTCATGGTTGGTATCCTCATTTCTCATCAATACTATTATTCAAATAGTATTTAAAAAAATATTTTTCTTACCTATATTCTTCCCCATTTTTTCTAGCTTATTCTGGTTTCTGTGTCCTTGAAGAAAAAGCCCTTGCTAAAACTCTGCATGATAACTACCCCAATGAGACTTTAATTTAGCTTTGCCTCCAATAACATTATATACACAATAGGCTAATTGCTAATAAAGAAGAGAAAAAGAACAAAGCTGCTAAAAAAAAGAAATATTACTTAAAAATTATTTTAAAATATGTTTCAGGGGTACTGTATCTATGGTCAAAGGATTCAACTTAAAATGAACACAGAAAAATTTAAAAGCACAATTCAAATCTGTATTCCAGATAAGAAATGAAAGAGATCGGCAACAGAAGGATGGGTGAAGATAAAGACACATCTGAAGGAAGAAAGAAAGGAAATATGCTTCAATGAAAGTGTAATTAAGAGTGGGCAAAAATAAAAAAAAATGAGTTGATTTTTTTTTCAGGGTTGGCAGTTTGTGCTGGGAATTGTCAAACTCTATTGGTCATTTTTTGCTTGTAAATGTTTATTTTACAGTCTTCTTGGTTCATAACTGTTTCAAATATCTCAGAGGTAACAAATGTGGGTAGAATAATTCCAGTGAAATATAGCTCTCTGCAGTTTCAAGGCTGAGGTGAATCATGCTATGCTGCCTCTGTCATTATGTCTCTGTTACTTTCAAAACATGGTGAATCATATTTGTTGAACACAAATGTTGATATTTTGCAATGAAACTAAAGCCACAGTAACAGAAGTGGCATAAGAAACAGCTGCTGTCATTTCAGATAGGCGTGCCTACTGCTTTAACCTGGAAGCAGAGATGAGCAGAAATCCTGTTTGTAGCAGAGCTGCTCTGTAAGGACAAGATTATTTGTTAAGAGTTGCACCAGCCAGAACTAGATGATACAGTTTTATCTAACCTGAAGCGGATAATCCAGTGCAGGTGCTTAACACTTCTAATATACTTCTGACCTTTTGGGACTGAATGTGGGAGCGGTTGCAATGACATGAGGCCAATTGTTATGTGCAGAGTCACTCTGGTTTTGCACTCACTGGGGCTTTTCCTTACTGCTTGGACCCTGATGCTTTTCCGGAGTAGTGAAAACATTAAGGATAAGGACAGGTTGTACGAGGCCTTGGGTGATATGGTTTAGTGTGAGGTGTCCCTGCCCATGGCAGGGGGGTTGGAACTTGATGACCTTAAGGTCCTTTCCAACCCTAACTATTCTATGATTCTGTGCTAGTAGTGCCAGAATTGTTGATATAAATATCAATAAGACCTCACAAAGTACAAATGAATTTGTGTTGGGAGCCGTGTTGGTAGGTAGGGGAATACATGTGGGAATTGCTTGTTGTAAATAGAACTGTGGGGATGAGATTCTTTGTCAGCCATCAGGAAGTGCTGCTGCTGGTATTTGTCCTCAGACATGGTTTATTTAAACAAAACTGCTTGTCTAATGTGTTACTAAGAGCTGTGTTCATGTTACAGGGGTTTGAAATCCAGATGTCCATTATGCTGGAAAGAACAGTAGAGTATTTTACATTTTTTAGGACAATTAAGTTTATTTTAGTACTGTTGATGGAGATCTGTTTGTTGTGTTGAGTGAAAAACAGTATTTTAATGAATGGTTTGATTAGGTTTGCACTACATTGTATTACTGTATGGTTTTGCGAGAGCTCCAAGGCTGAGGAGCCTGTGCTGCTTATTCTTCCACATTTGTTTAACTGCTGAGATGTCCGAAAGTTGACTTCTTTTTTTTTTTTTTAAGAAAGATATTTTCCTGCAGCAGTAGTTCAGTGAGTCCTTGTGGTTTATCTTGAGGAAGCTGCCTTTTGCAATAGTGCATGCATTTAAGGTTAACCAGTTTTTGTTTTGAAAGAGCTCCAATGCAAGATTAAACTAGTTGATCTTTGTTCTCATATATGCTATGAGTGGGTTTGCCTATGATTTATTTGTTTATGACCTAGAATGTCCAGCCCATTCTATACCCCAGGAGCTGCTCTTTCACACTTGGCTATCCAAGACTTTTTTGGAACATGTTGTATTCAGTCTTGAATGCTGAAAGAATGGTCCCTTGCTTGAAAGCTGTCTGTAGAAATAGTCTTGATTGAAGACAGTAAAGCTTGATCTGCAACATAAATCTTTTTAGTCCACACAATGGGAAAATTCATGTTTTTCCTAGAACATGAGTGTCCCCATTAGTCTTAGACTAACCTGATGAAGAGATGAGAGGTTTCCAGGGTTCTTTCAAAAAATATATTGTCTTTCTCAATAACAGTGTAATGATCTGTGGGCTGAGCTCTATGTTTTCATGTAGTTGCAAGGACCTTTACTGGAACACAGAAAATAAAATAATGTCCCATATTTTTATAATAATGCACTGTTATATGCTTAGGCAAATTAAAATGGGTTTTAGTGTTTGAAAAAGGAAGCAAGTCACCATAGACAGAAATAATGACTACTAGAAATTTAGCCTCAGCAAAAAATGGCAGAGCCTGCTGATGATGTGGGCTGCGAGATTAGGAAGTCTTATTTCTTGTTTTGAGAAAATAGAATTCAGAAGAGCCAGCTGAAAGTCTTCTAGCAGAACC